CTGTCAATTCCAAGTTCTTGTATTGAATGAAATTGATGATATTTCTTTATAACAAAAAACAAATAAAACCTACGGCCACAGGGTATTTTCAATTGCAGCACACATTTTATATATGGAATGGACTACCTTCACACATTCAGACTATTGATAGTGTTGAAGTTTTTAAAAAAGACTTGAAAACACTCTTATTTGCACAGTACTTTAACTAAAACGTGATACTTGAAATTATATATTTTCTCATATTATCAGAAAATGTTTTATTGTTTAGACCATTACTATTATAACCAGCATTGATCATTTTAATTGTTTTATTCACCTCAGCTTTTATTATTTATATGATTACTTGTAATTCTGATAATTTTATTTGTAAACAACACTGAGACGGTAGTGTAGTGCGGTTTTTAAGAAATAATAATAATAATAATAATAATAATTATTATATTTGCAATATACCTATACCTATACATAAAATTGCATATTCGTTGCAATGCACAGCGTGCACTGATGTGACTGTGCATAGACAAAGATATAGAATATATCAGCGGATTATTGTGTACTGAATTCATTATCATTCTTTGTATTTGAACACCCTGGGCGGCTGTAACAGGTTATCATCAATGAATGATGCAATTGTTTGGGGAAAATTGTGTTATCTTCATATAAACTAAAGGGTGTTGATACTGTAATCAAAATAGCTTGATATTTAAACGCCACTTGATTAATGATTAACACGGTGTTTGTTATTTTATGCCTCTGTTTATTGTAACAGTAATATTTTATTTCAGCTGGAATTTTTATTATTAAATTTACCTTTTAATTCAGAATTCATTTCTCTGAAAAATATTTATATACTGGTTAAGTGTGCAGTATTTGACAATTTAATCACACGTATGTTACAGGGACTGAAGCCGGTGCAGCGACAGGTACGGGAGGGGCCGCAACCGTCAAACCCCCTGTCTTCAGAGCGGATCATCCGTTCATGTTCATGATACGGGACAATATCACTGAAACTATACTCTTTCTGGGGAGACTCCATGAACCACCCGGAAGGAGCTTGCAACTCGGCCTGAGCGACTCCTCTGCGAGCCAGTCAATGGCAGACTGGTTTTTACTGACTTTGTATTTTTTCTTTGCGATGTACTTGGGCGTTTAATGTTCTTTCATCTGTGGATGTCCATTAATTGAACTGGTTGGTAAAAAATGATGCATTTGTTTCTCTGTTATAAAGCTTATATTATAAATAGCATATTTACATTGTGTTTTAGTTTTTAGTGTTATTATACCCAGATATGTTTTGACGTTATGTTTAAATTCACGTCTACACTAGGATTAAAAAAGTCTACAAAATATCAATGTAGCTCTTGATCATCAAAGCACTTTGGTGTTTGTTTATATTAGATCATTTAAACTAAAAAAAAATTAAATAAGTTTCTGTTTTAATCTGGTTAGCCTTGATAAAGACTCCCACGTGTGTTTCCCGTGGCGGACAACATACAAAAATATCTGACTTTTAGTTGCTGTTTAAAGACTGTTTACAAAGTGCTCGAATGCATTACATACAATGTAGCTGAGGGAATTCTACTAAGAATTATAGTTCTCCGTCTTGGCTGAATATTGGTTAGGAAGAAGCTATATTTTACCAAAATGAAAGCCGCAAGAAAGTCTTTGTCCAAGTGATAAATGTACGTAAATTTGATTGTTAAGAAAAAAAAAAAAAAAAAAAAGAAAATCCTCCACCCAAGTGACTCGCTTATTATAGTGGATTTGGATTAATGTACTGCTCGAATTGTTTTCATTATCCCCCCCCCTCCTCTCCTGAACAGAAGTCTGGATATGCCACTGTTTGCAGGGTACAGGGTCATTGTGAGACATTTGTTCTCAAAGAAAAGTTTCCGGCAGTTTTACATAGGGTCAGGGCTGTTAACTATAGATTTCAAGCTAAGTTCATTAATCCTGCCAACAATAGAATTAAAGCCGATTAAAACATCCATTATAGCCTTACATAAAATTGGAAGTTTTCTCAGCAAATATACTATCGTGTCTTCTTTAGCCAACGGCTGAAAAAGTGCATTTTAGAATTAACGTTTTTGCATCCAAAAAGGAAAGGTATTGCAGATGGAATACAGCAGTATCAAAGGCTCATTCCACCTTACTTTCTAAATTTATGTCTGTTTAAATAAAAAAAACTACCAAACAGGTGTGATCGGACAGTCACTATCGCAGTTGGGGTTTTTACATTTAACTTTAAGTGATACGACTTATACGTAGGGTGATAGAAAGTGAAGTATACAGTTAAGTTCCATAGGAATATCACATAATCGTTATTGCACTAGGACTGACGCACCATTTTATCGTAAATACCTACTCTGTCACTGAGAACAGGCAAACAACCTGATTAAACAGTTCCCTATTTTGCCGTTGGTGTGGCAGTAAGACCAACATTCACTGCAGTCTTGTAAGGCAGTTTTTTTTTAATAACCTGTTTCTCAAGCTCCGCCGACATCAAAATGGCCAAAATAGAAAAAAAATAAAATTGAAATCAAAAATATTTTTATTTTTTCCCCGACTTCCGACTGATCGTACTGTTCGATCGTAAACACGAAACTTAACAAGTTTCACTGGACTCCCGCGTCACATGACTGCCTACAAGTTCAAAACGAAGGGTATTTAAGCCAAAGTAAACGATTGGTTCATTTCCCCCAGCTTCCGGTTTTTAAGCCAATCAATGCTTCGCTGATATTTTACACTGCATTTGTCAAATTAATGCAACATGGCGGGAGACGCATACTGGAGTAGCTTTCTCTACTTAAGCAGGAAATTGACCACTGTTGTGTGGCTCAGTGTTATAGTGAAGGAAGGACCAAAGATTTTATGCAAAAAGGTCTGTCCGGCCAGTGTTACAGACGTTTTAGGCCATTTTATTGACTGCTTTCTGTCAGAAATGAAAATATCAACTGCAACACTTGTCACGTGTGGAAGGTTTTAACAGGGAGCAAAAATAGGTTCTGAACTGAATGTAAGAATGCCGGTCACTACGGTGGTAGATATTGACATTAAGTGCATTCAGATAACAGTTGGCAGTGAACATCAAAAGATGCAGGCTCAACTAAACTCTCCAAGAACATCCAAATACAGAGCGCATTGGATTTTTAATGCAGCACTCGCGTAGGCCTACTTCTGAAAGTCTCCAGAAATGATGTGAGTATTTTTTTTTTCGTTTTATCAGTCTAGAGTGTCATGGTTTTTTAAGGTGAATGTATTTTAGGCATTGATATGTTGGTAAATAAATTTCCTTTTTTGCACTTTCACAAAAGCGTATGTTAAATGCTAATGGCTCGCTCACAACAACAGATGTTTCTATAGGCTACTGAAGCAACGTGTCTTTGACATTTTTTTTTATTAAATTAAGGCAGGTAATAGCTGTAAATTATCATGTGCTTTGGATAATGAGCCTGTCAACATGAATTCATAGTTCAATTAAGTTTTCCACCAAGTTTTTAAGGCGTATATAGATATTAAGTTTAACCATGCCTGTATCCAGCAATTTCAAAAGAAGGTTCTTTTTCTGAAAAAGTGATTCATTTAATTACCATAAAACCTTCATGCACCTAGATCAGTTTTGATCCAGAGCAGACCTTTTCCTGATAAAAAGGGTGGATCATTCAATAATATTGAATAAGTTAAGTTGTTGCTGCCATTTAGATTTAATAAAAATTAAGACCACAGTTCCATAACAGGCCATATTACCCTTGCTGGTTTTTGTATTTTCAACAATCTGGCTAAGCAATTGTTTGCTGTCTTTTGAATTATGCAATTCCTATGCAGCTAAGAGAAGGCACACATCCAACTCAGTTAACTTATCTGAAATATTTTTTTTAGTGAATCCCCAAGTAATGCAAGGCAGGCAATGTATAATTCCACCTCGCAAGTAGTGGAAGACTTCAATCTTTGTCTTCGGGCTGGACAGGCCAAAAATCTTGGAAAAAGCATAGCAGAGACACTGACAGAGGAGCTATGGTATAGAAGCCCATATGCAGAGTGAGACTGGCTAGTTTAGTGCAGCTGCCATAGTGACCATTTAAGGAAGGCCATTTAATAAGATGATTCTCAAACTTATTGAAAGATTCAAAGGTCTGAAATATAGCCTGATTGGATTCTTTTTATGGAAGTTATGCTGTTTTTATGAAATGGTCATTTTTCATATACATGTATTGGTATTTTCAGTGTGGGACTTGGAACTCACATGGGCATGAAGCCATATTGTTTCTGGATGACCATGTTACTTGAAGTAGATAATTTAAATTTGATGATTTTCCACTTAATCATTAAATCATACATAATATTGCATCAAGATTAACAAAAAACTGTTTTGTGCACTGCCATCGTGAATGCATAGAAAGGCAAACTGTGTTTTTTGTTTTGTAATTTACAAGAATGATTCGTTGAATTGACATTCATTTAGACAAATAAAACATTGAAAAGGAATTGCTGTTTTTATCCAAAAATTGCTATACCGTGTTAAAACCAGTATTTACCATTGTCTAATGTAGTTTTGAAAATGAGTGACCAAAAATTCATTATTTTGAAAAATATTTTTTATTTTTTCCCCCCTCCGACCTCTGACAAAAATAAAAATCGTTCGAGAAACAGGTAATTTAAAAAGAAANGACTCGCTTATTATAGTGGATTTGGTTTAATGTACTGCTCGAATTGTTTTTATTATCGCCCCCCCCCCCTCCTCTCCTGAACAGAAGTCTGGATATGCCACTGTTTGCAGGGTACAGGGTCATTGTGAGACATTTGTTCTCAAAGAAAAGTTTCCGGCAGTTTTACATAGGGTCAGGGCTGCAGTCGCATTGTAACACAAACTACCTGGTTTTGCTGGGGATGCTTTTCGGTCCCGCACTCCTTTATAAAAATAGTTTCGCGACTTTTCTCTGGTCCGCCCGGCGCCCTCTGGTTATAAACATCTCAGATGGAGATCACTACACTAACTGTATATGTCTCTGTCGCTTTTGGTGACAAATGTCCTTCTTGACATTCCTTCTTCAATATATAGCCGACACTTTCCGTATGCATCCTGTCAATCTTTTACCTGATAATATTCAGGGATCTTAGTCAATAACTTTTATGATGATTGTGCAATTTAAAATTTGGGAATTTAAAAATATTTAACAAAAAAATGTTTATTAGCTTGGTGGTTGTTCATATATGATAGTTATAAAAACTAAAAAAAAAAAAAAAAAAAAACAAGCTGGAATATTTTCATACCGTTGGCTCATGGCCAACCTTGAGGTAGGCCTTCAACAGACTGATGTGAGTAGATGTTATAACTCACTGACCACTTAGTAGTGTAGCGGCCAGGACACAAATGTTTTGTTCAAATTAATATTTATTTTACGTTATTTTATTTGTTTATTCATTTGCCAAGAACACGAATGCTTACACCATGAACGATCCTTCAAGGTGATAACTGTTAGAAAGTTCTTATATCAGCATCATGGTTGTGACACTTAATTGCCTCACAGTCAAAATAAAGTGTTTAGCCCTCAATATTTCTTGTTTCTGTTGTCTTTATTGTATATAGCGCGAGTGTCACGGCATTAAAACATAAAGTATACTGATGTTAAATACGGCGATATAACAGTATGCATCATTGCTTTGTTAATTACATCATAGTCCTTTGATATTTAAAGTGAGCGTTTTCTACTAACCCATTGTTAGGCATATTGTGATATCTGATATGTCAGAAAAGATTAACTAGTAATTGCACTCTTTCAAAATAATGGTTTTATATAAGCTGTATTTCTCTTTGATTTCTACAGAGGTAAAGAAGGTAAAGGAATGTCCATTAAATTGAAAGGACACCACCAAATGTCGCCAAATTTACACACAATTATCTTTAGAATATGCTCGATATAGGTTCCATGTCTAACAGCGTGTGTCTACCCGTGCAGCGGTTGCAAATAGTTCAACTGTCAAGCAATTTAATGGCTCTTAATGGCTGAATGTTTCCCGGTAATGCCAACAAAATGTAGATATTATACGTTAATTATATCTTTAAAATTCAGTTCATTTTAGGGACTACAACTAAAGGACTTATTTTCAGCAATAAAACACATGCGTGTAGTCTCAATCTCTACGGCCCTTTTCTGTTGAGCGATACACTTTTCTATACCAGTTTAACTGGTCTGAACACGTAATTACGCATTACTGATTAATTAGATGCATTACTGATTTATTAGATGCAGGAAAACATCATTTTCGGTATCGATGGCAATAAAGGTTACAATAACCTATAGGCGATCTATCTTACGTTACTGCCTGCATGGCTACATAGTTGACACACTTTCAAACTAGTATCATACAGAAAAGTGTACCGCTCGAGGTGAAAAGGGTATTTAACTCTTCCAATATTTTACCCAATCAAACTGCCAGACTTGACGTTACAGTCTTTGCCTGTGTAGCCAGGGTCACAGGCACATTTATAGTCGTTAACCAAGTCAATACATGTGCCATACCAGCATGGATAGCTGTTGCACTCATTTTCCTCAGTCTCACACTTCTTCCCGATGAACCCAGCTTGGCAGCGACACACGTGGCCGTCAGTGGGACTGTAGTCACATCTACCTCCGTTCTTACACAGGCATCGCTCACAGCGGGTCCCGGTCCACAACTTAGGGCACGTGCAATTGAAGGTCCCATCGAGCTGTGTGATACAGCGTCCGCCATGAAGACAGGGGGAGCTGGTGCAAGGGTTGACACGGGTTTGACAATGGGTTCCCTTGTGGGTGGCCGGACAGGTGCAGTTGTAGCCCCCAAGCTTCGGAGCGCAAGTGGACCCATGCTGACATGGGTTGGACTGACAGAAATCGATTAGGTTTTCACAATACTTGCCAGTGTAAAATGAAGGACATATACATTGGAAGTCACCGAGCTTGTTTTTAAACGTACCGGTAGCGCCATAATCAGTCTCCTTACATTGTGCGCCGCTTTTGCAGGGATTTGCAGAACATGGTGCTGTTGTAGATGTACTTCCTGCGAAAAAGACAACAGCATTAAATCGATCCCAGTCAGGACACGCTTACAAATCAGCCAATAATTTAAAGACGAGTGTCTATTTTAACTCATAAAACCGGTAAAGTGTACGAAGAACTAGTAATTATAAATTGCTGTCAATGTTTTGAATGCATACCAGTTGTTATTTTTTCGCCAATATTTTCCCAGCTGTCTCTTTAAATCCTGTAAACACGAGCTGACTTTGATAACATAACCCCAATAACTGTGGTAAATGTACTCTCTTAAAGTGTATTTAGAAGGTACATGCCACATGTACATACACGTAAGCTACAAACTATTGTGCAATACATGTTATACATATAGCAAAACAGTACTAGTACAGTACAAGGTATTCTGGGCCATTGTGCCATATTATGTAATTGTGTTTCTATATATTTTATGATTCCTAAGGGTAAATAGCACCTATGGATATTTCTACGTTATATTCCAAAATACTGACCACGAGTTTGCTTCCTGTCGAAATGATAACTTGTTAAATTGTGACTGTGGACTACTAGCTTGCGTCTTGCCCAAATGCTAAGTTTAAAAAAAATCAAATGTTTACATAGAAATATGAAAGATACCTTGTGTATATTCGTCTCTGTATCCTTATTTGTGACACAGTGATGCGAATTTTTGGGTATTTTCAGAAGATTTTTTTATAACCTATTATTAATTAAATTTAAATTACCTAAAGGTATACCCAGCCTTCATTCCCAGCCTCGGGCCAAACGTAGTGGACGTTTTGAATCATGGCTGCTAAGAACAGCACTATCATGCCCCCCATGCCTATGGTAAATATACTGTTTGATCATGTCAATATAAACCATTTATCAGTGCGATACTGATAAATACCTTAGCCTGCACTCCCATAGATTTAGATCAATCTATCTAGATCGGCCTAACTCCCTGGAGGTTCACGCTAAATTGCTGTCAGCCGAGCGCGCACGGTAGTTAATTACCCCCTTACAGCTTTTAGTAGGCGGGATAGACATTTAAGCCGGCTAAGCTGACAGTAATCTAGTGAGACTCCCCACAGGGATAGATCGATCTAAAATCTGTGGGAATTGGGTCTTAGACTGACATGAGCTTTATAAGCTTCAAAAATTTATATTCAGTCCCCATGTTGTTTTCTAGCACTCACCATTGGGTCGAATACATTCATAGCCCCCGTTAAAAGGTTGACAAATCATTGGTTGTCCTGGTTCTTTTTCTGGGCATGGGTTCGGATCGCAAGGATCTTGAAAACATTAGAAACACACGTGATGCCAAATGTTAAATTATTTATACATATTAGCTTATTACAATAAAGAGGATGAGAAAATAATTAAATCTAATACTAATTGAAACGGAGACCACAACGTTCCCACCTTATCGCAATGTATTCGTGTCAACTGATGGTGAGTTGTTTCCAATGCAGCGTGGTGACGTTCTGCCCTTCACCTTGTTGAAGACCTTTCGATAAGGTCAAAACGTCTTGATCTCCATTTCAACGTAAGGTTTTAGTTTTATTTTCTCATTATCTCAGTATAATTTAACTTGATGAATTAAAGTATTCACTTTCCGTTCATTTCCAGTTCCATTATCTTTTCAAAGTTAGAACAAATCAAATGGTTACTTTAAATAATGTACATTTCTAACATATTAAATGTCTTATCCAGCTAGCTTAAAATTCTTGGTACTAAAAGTAGGTAAATGGTAATCTTAATCTATTTTAGACAAATAATTTTATCCAATTTTAAGATGTACGTATACTCCTTTAGTCAATGCATATATACCCACGTTTTGTCGCCTTTGTAACAGTCGTGGTGGACAGAGTCGTGGTGGTACTGGTAGTTAGTAATACTCCACACGTGTATCCACTGTAACCAACAGGACAAATACATGTGTATCCGTCCACTTTATCCACACATGTACCATCATTTAAACACGGGTTGGAGGAACATTCATCAATGTCTATCAGGCAGGTTGGTCCCGCATATCCAGCTGGACAGAGACAAGTAAAATTGTCAATTCCGTCGAGACACAGTCCTTTGCTGCAGGGGTTAGACGCACATTCATTGACGTCTGTCTGGCATATAGTCCCTGTATAACCAACTGGACAGTTACACGTGTATCCGTTTACACCATCCAAGCAGGTACCTCCGCTACCACAGGGATTAGATGAACATTCATCGACATTGGATTCACAATGCAAACCAATATATCCCGCTAAACAATTGCATTTGTACATGTCAATATCGTCGGTGCAAGTTGCGCCGTTCTTACAAGGGTTGGAGGCACATTCGTTTATGTTGATTTCGCAGGTGAGACCAGCAAAACCAGAACCACACATACAAGTGAAACTGTTTATACCATCGAAACAAAGACCATTCTTACACGGATTAGGGGTACACTCGTCTATATCAGTCTCACAGTTTGGTCCTGTAAATCCCGCTGGGCATTTGCAGATGAATCCATTGATTGCATCTTTGCAACTGCTGCCATTTTGGCAAGGGTTTGATTTGCACTCATCAACGTTGGTTTCACAGCTATAGCCTGAAAACCCTGCGGGACACGTGCATGTATACTCATTCACGCCATCCGCACACATTCCTCCATTGAGACATGGGTTGGATGCGCATTCGTTTATATCGATTTCACACAAAGAACCAGTATACCCTTCCGGACATACACAGTTATACCCGTTAACGCCATCTACACATGCTGCTCCGTTTTGACAAGGATTAGACGCACATTCGTTTACATTGGTTTTGCATGTACGGTCGGCAAATCCAGGTTTGCATGCACATGTGAATCCATTCACACCATCAATGCATGTTGCACCATTCATGCAAGGGTTAGATGCACATTCATCGACATTGGTTCCACATATTGGGTCGATAAAACCAGGTTTGCATGAACATGTGTATTCATTCACACCATCAATACACGTTGCATCATTCTTGCAAGGATTAGATGCACATTCATCGATATTGGTTTTGCATGTACGGACCGTAAAACCAGGTTTGCAGGCACACGTGTATTCATTCACACCATCAATACACATTGCACCATTCATGCAAGGGTTAGATGCACATTCATCTACATTGGTTTGGCATGTAATACCGGCAAATCCAGGTTTGCATGCACATGTAAATTCATTCACACCATCAATACACGTTGCACCATTCATGCAAGGGTTAGATGCACATTCGTCTATATTGGTTTGGCATGTAAGACCGGCAAATCCAGGTTTGCATGCACATATAAATTCATTCACACCATCAATACACGTTGCACCATTCATGCAAGGGTTAGACGCACATTCGTCTATATTGGTTTGGCATGTAAGACCGGCAAATCCAGGTTTGCATGCACATATAAATTCATTCACACCATCAATACATGTTGCACCATTCATGCAAGGGTTAGATGCACATTCGTCTATATTGGTTTGGCATGTAAGACCGGCAAATCCAGGTTTGCATGCACATATAAATTCATTCACACCATCAATACACGTTGCACCATTCATGCAAGGGTTAGACGCACATTCGTCTATATTGGTTTGGCATGTAAGACCGGCAAATCCAGGTTTGCATGCACATGTAAATTCATTCACACCATCAATACATGTTGCACCATTCATGCAAGGGTTAGATGCACATTCGTCTATATTGGTTTGGCATGTAAGACCGGCAAATCCAGGTTTGCATGCACATGTAAATTCATTCACACCATCAATACACGTTGCACCATTCATGCAAGGGTTAGATGCACATTCGTCTATATTGGTTTGGCATGTAAGACCGGCAAATCCAGGTTTGCATGCACATATAAATTCATTCACACCATCAATACACGTTGCACCATTCATGCAAGGGTTAGACGCACATTCGTCTATATTGGTTTGGCATGTAAGACCGGCAAATCCAGGTTTGCATGCACATATAAATTCATTCACACCATCAATACATGTTGCACCATTCATGCAAGGGTTAGATGCACATTCGTCTATATTGGTTTGGCATGTACGGTCGGTAAAACCAGGTTTGCAGGCACACGTGTATTCATTCACACCATCAATGCATGTTGCACCATTCATGCAAGGGTTAGATGCACATTCGTCTATATTGGTTTGGCATGTAAGACCGGCAAATCCACGCAAACATGTACAGCTATATTTGTTGACGGCGTCTCTACATGTACCACCATTTTGACAAGGTGACGATTTGCATTCATCTATGTTAAATTGGCAGTTATGGCCAGTATATCCTCTTTGGCAGGTACACGTATAGCCGTTGATCTCGTCTTTACATAAACCGTTGTGTTGACACGGGATAGATGCGCACTCATCAATGGCAAACTCACATAACGGACCGGTCCATCCACCACGGCAAGTACAACTGTAGCCATTTACAGCGTCATTGCACTTACCGCCGTTCTTACAAGGAGTAGAAGAGCATTCGTCTATGTCTATCTCACACGTCAAACCCCTAAACCCCGCCACACAATTACATTTGAATTCGTTGACTTTATCGGTACAGAAGCCTCCATTTGTACAAGGTTGAGAGGCACATTCGTTTACATTCGTTTCACATTGGACACCTGTAAACCCAGCTGGGCAGGTACACTGAAATCCATTGACTCTGTCGACACATCCACCACCATTTTTGCAAGGACCAGAGGCGCACTCGTCGATGTTTGTTTCACAACGTTTGCCAGTGAAGCCAGCCGGACAGATGCACGTGTATCTATTCACTGCATCTATGCAAAGTCCTCTGAGACATGGGTTCGAAGAACATTCATTTACGTTCACATTGCAAGTTAAACCGGAAAATCCCGATATGCAGGAACAAACGAACCCATTGTTTTTATCTGTGCAAACAGCACCATTTTTACAAGGTTGGGAGGCACACTCGTCTATATTCTTTTCACATTGGACGCCGGTGAACCCAGCTGGACAGGTACATTGGAATCCATTGACTTCATCGACACATCTGCCGCCATTTTTGCAAGGTTGGGAAGCACACTCGTCTATATTCGTTTCACATTGGACACCGGTGAACCCATGATCACAATGACATGCGTATGAAGCCTCTAAGTCGCGGCAAGTGCCATGCTTACACGGGTTCGATGCACACTCGTTAATGTTTGTTTGGCAGTGTATCCCAGTGAATCCAAGGTTACAAAGACAAACATACTTATTAACACCGTCTAAGCATCTTCCTTTACCGCCGCATGGGTTCAGATCACAATCGTTAATGTTTATTTCACATTTTCTTCCAGTAAAGCCAGTTGGACAAGAACACTTGTATCCGTCCGCAGTGTTTTCACATTTACCACCATTTTGACATCGGGATCTATAGCACTCTGGGATGGATGGAAATTAACCGTTAGGTATGCAACATTACAATATAGCATATCTGTTCTTGGTGAATTATGTAGGCGTCAGAATCCGTATTTACTTAAAAAGTAGCTAACTTGGATCTTGCTGTTTCCATGCCAAAAAATAAAGGAATGATATATGAATCTCCTCAATTGGAAATTTAATTTAAAACCCGTTCAAAAGCGTTAATGAGTAGAAAAAACTTGGTTTGATATATGTATCCACAATAAATACTGTTAAAACGTTCACGAAGCCAAAATTATTGTGATTTAATTACAGCATTAGCAATCTTAACGAATCATTTTGATTGAAAGGACAATAGACCCACAAAAATCCATTTCTCGAATTTTGAATATTCAGCACTCAATCTATACACTAGAGGTATGTTTTAATCGATCCCCGCCATTAAAAAATTATAAAAAAAATCTATTAGTAGAAAAAAAAAGCGTTTTAGTAAACCTCACCTCAATATGCATAAATGAAGCAACAGATCTGGGTCACGTGGTACTGTGACGACAATGAGGATATATACCCGCACGAAAATGCAGTAGTATCGAAGTAGCAAAGAAGCATTAACGCAGTAGTGGTGTGGAGCATATTTGCAGTAGAAATGCAGTATAGCCTACTGCCATTCTACTTCAAAAATTACATAGGGCTGTACAGAATAGGAGCATTAATGCAGTAGATTAGCAGCATGATAGAAGCAAATATGCTAATTAGTTCCCCAGTCGAAGCAGATTTGAAGCATGTTTGCAGTATGATTGCAGTAGTCTACTGCGCTGGAGTATCTACTTCGTTTTCGTGCGGGATAAAGGTCTATGAGACTTAACTGAGCTGCATGGTGCATACAGACAATAGTTTAAGAAAGTTGTGTTGAACGGAGTTGAGCAATTTTCCTTATGTCTCAGTGTGTTGTCGTGGGATTCACCAAAATTGCAGCACTCCTTGACAATCTTTCTTTGTCTGTGACGGTCTTCCGTGACTTACTACATGTAACTTCGGTGACAATAGTTGCGATGCTCGCGATCTCGGTCACCTCAGGTGTTTTAGATCATATCAAAAGCTGATAGTCTTTTAGATTAACTGTCATCAGTTGGCAAGCTTACTAATTGCTGATGCATTTTAAATGCATTGTAGTTGACCAAGAGCTCGTTAACAATAAAACCTGTTAATTATGCACCGCTGCAATTCCCAAGCCAGGTAATAACAGGTATCAAACTCGTCTTGGTGGGCTTTCATATTTTTCAATATATCTCATTTATTTCATGGGGTTATTTTATTGGTATTTGTAAATGACGTTAAATATCAATATTTAAACAATTAAGATCAAACAAGGTCGCGAACATTAATAACAGGAATTGCTCTCAGGGTATCTTGAAGCATGCGTATGCCCAGGCATTACTTCCTTGGAAGAAAACGTCTTGAGAAAAAACAGGAAAAAGAGTAAAGATTGAAAGATAATTTTAGACAAATAGACAAACTTTGACGGGGAAATATGGATCCACAAAGAGTAAAGGGCTATTGCGCCAACATCTTGTTGAAATTTTTACACTGCAATTCTATTTAAATAAGCTAAGGAACTAATTGCCAAATTTAGACTTTCATCACATAACAGGGGCGTAACCAGACCTGCAAAAGTTGTACGCACAGATTAAAAAAATTACAAGCACGTACAGCAAAATGTAGACTAACGCAAAACATGATGGACAGCGTAATCACAGCAAATGTACCTCATATAGTAGCTTAATTTCCATTAATAATAAAATCATCATTTAAGTCAAAAATATTCTCGCGATTTAATAAATATTCTAATTTACCCAGAACGGTATTTTTATTTAAAGGGAGGCTAACTCAAATATAGTTTTATTATTTGTTTGTGAAAATTGCTCATGTCACCCTGTTAGGTCTAAGCTGGATCAAGTCCATGTTAAAATTCCTATGAAGCTGTGCAGGAAAAATTCTTCCTTTGGTTCTCTAGCTCCTCGATAAACCTGGTGTTCAGATTTTATCTAGTACCTCCAGGTCTGCGGGAGCTGCTCTTTGAAACTAACGCACAGGTGGATTTTTACCTGAGATAAATATCGCCAGATAGATACTCGCTACAGGAGAATTGAATGCCATTTAACCCTCTAATTAAGAGGTAAAGGAAGTTCCAGTTAGATGGATGATTAAGATAGGACTTGTAAAGGTAACGGGCATTGTTTACCTCAGTTTAATAAAAGCATGCAAGACGGAGTGTCAGCGGTTTAATAAAATTAATGGAATTTCATGGAACATGGACCTCATATACAATAATCAACAGTACCCTTAACTCATTCAAATGCAGCGTTTTATACAACTTGGGATAACCATAATTAATGCTTGTTGACTAGACGAGAAATGGTTTTACATAGATTCACGAGGATTTAGACCCCTCGGGTAAGAGATGTGAATGCGTATAAAATTTTATCAGAAGCCAGAAAAGTCATCTTCCAGGTAGACAATGCAGCTCAGTTTGATAGCTAAGCACGCTCTTTTCTCCGGTGGCACGATTGTCGTCATCGGACCACGTGGCCATGTAGCTCATTAACTCCCAGGCGGAGCAAATAGGACGTTTTTTAAAGCCAATTTTTTTAAAGTGAGCTTTTAAACTGTGTATTTGGATAAAGATATCGTTAGTTGGGCATGTTTTCTGAAGAATATGTTCCGTTCAGGCCATTCTGACGGTATGGCGCAAATCCTTTAATAATAACTGCGTTAGCAATCTAAATGCTTTATTGCAATGACGAATGCTTCATTGCCAACGAATATATCAACGTAACAATTACAGACTTTAAACAAAAGCAACGCAATTACCGTTAGGAACACACGTCGGTGCCGACCCAGTCCATTTAGTTGAGGATCCTTGAACTTCACATTTTCGGACCAGATCCCCAGCAATATGCTCGTGGAACAAGTTACATTTGTAGATAATGCTTTCTCCCTCGTTGTTTCGGGCCTGTTGGGTCATAGTGTTAGATGGACTTGAAGGCATCGTGCATTCTGGGAAGTGGACAATTAAATGCACTCTTAAATCATGGTAATGATATAATTTCTCCTTTTTATATATATACTTTTTATTAATTTTTGAACGTCGCTAAGATTAGAAATTGTCACCTTTAATTATTTGTGGTCTTTTGTTTTACACAATACCGTACACTATACCTACGTCTCTTTTCACAGTTGTTGCCACCGAAGCCAGTAGGACATTCACACGTATAACCACTGTTTTCTGTGGAACCCGAATTCCCCTTCAGTTGTGAGAAAGCGGCAATCAGCCCCGGAATCAAGCTGTCTTTACTTCGTCTTCTTCTTTTATTATCAGTCTCCTTGCATTTTCCGCCGTTTTTGCAGGGGTATGTAGAACATACTGTTGCTGTAGATGTTGGTCTTGATGTTGATGTACTTCCTGTAAAAAAGACAGAAACATTAAATTGATCCAAGGTAGGGCGTGCTTACAAATCAACCGTGAAACATATCACACCGCGCAACAACGGTTTTGGCCCCAAAGGGATAGTCAGGCCTACCGGGTTTAAGATGATATTAATAATGCGCACTATGCCCAGCGGTGTGGACGAAAAATCACCATAATAATACGCTTGATGAGATATTATGGTGTTAAATTAAGTCACCATAGCTTAACTGTAAATACACCTTAACAGTGGTACAGGTAGGTATAAAATTTGATCATGTACCGTGCAATTAAATGAAAGTTAATTAAAAATCTCCTTGGGATCGAAATGTACACGTACGCACACTTGTACAACAACTGAGAAACACTCGAGACTTTGAAACTTCAGTTATTTCACATCCAACGTAGAACTTATTTTTACAAAAGATCGTGATGTTATACTCCCGTCACACTTAATTGGAATCAGCAGGAATCAGGAAGAATGAGGCTGAATGAAGAATTTTAAAAATTCGCACTACATTCGGGAAAAAAGTTTTAATTGACCTTAAAGTGATAATAACTCTTCGTTTCGGCCAAAAAATGAATTTTCCTGGAGTAAACAACAATTTTCCCATACTTACCAATGGTTAATTAATCCATTTTTACATTCAAAGTAAGTCCCTGGTTTTTTTCTAAAAAGTTTTTTTTTTATGTTAAAATCTCTCAAGAGATTTTAGCAGAGTATAGCCATCAATGGAGGTCACGTGGTCTAAAGACAAGCTCAGATATCAGAATAATAGCTATAACAGCCGTTTTTGTGGGAAAACAGAATATATTATATTTTTATGAGCCATTCACGATGTTTTTATTGTGAAATACAGATTTCATACGAAGAGTTATTATCCCTTATTAATTGTAAGAGTACCGTTGGAATACTCAGAATGCGCTTGAACTCGCCTGGAATGATGAGTGCACTTTCGGCTGTTTTAGCTCTCAAATGCAGTTCGAATGTAGTTGGAAAACTAGGAATATCTATAATGCTGTCAGAAGGCAGTAAGAATATTTGGAATATACTTTGAATGGCGTACTAGTGTAGTTCGATTGCTGGCAAAATTAATATTTCACCTCATCCGAGGCACGTTCGAAACATTCTGGCGGGATTTTATACCCCCGTCACACTAGAGGCGGAATGATTAAGAACGGCGTCGAAAATACAATACAATTTGTGCATTCCAGGTTATTCGAAGAGCATTCTAAAAATTCCGAGTGCATTCCAAATATTTTTACCCATTCTTGTGTCCTGCATGACTGCCATGACTGCATGACTGCATTCTAAATATTCTCACGGCATTCCGACAGCATTCGAAACATTATGATCAGTTACCATTCCAGTGGTGTTATTTATACACTCTGGGCATCGTGTTACATTCTAAACATGTTAGAAAGTAATTTTGATTAAGTATTTTAGGTATTTCAGCTGCATTATGTTTGAATTCTTTATATTTCAAACGATTATTGGCAGCCATACCGGGAGCAGTTGACTGCATTTGAGTTCGCTTCATATATCATTCGAGGTACCTTCTTACATACTTCAGCCTGTATTTGGCCAGCAGTCAAACCACACTCGTACTGCATTTGAATTTCATTCGGAATATTCCGACTGCAATTTGAAATTACCTCCCGATTATGGCACGAATTTTTCAATTAATTCATTCTGGCTGGTTCTCCTTGATTCCTGCTGGTTCCGAATAATTGTGACGTGGGCCCTTAAGTCACGTGCCAGTTCGAATATCCCTCGAATGTGATCTGAATGTTTCGAATGTTGCCTGAATGCCGTGAGAATATTTAAAATGCAGTCATAGTGTAGTTAGAATACTATTCAAATGCCATTCAATAATTTTCCACTTGGAATGCACTTCGAAAGTTTTTAACATTCAGGCCGACCACAAAAATGGGCAAAACTATTTGAAATGCACTCGGAATTTTTAGAATGCTCTTTGAATATCCAGGAATGCACAAAGAATTGTCTTTCCGACGGTATTCTTGTTCATTCTGCCTCTAGTGTGACGGGGTATTAGATAGATAGAAGGGTAATTGATGAAATCACCCTCTGCTTCGTTTCCCCTTGTGCGTCCCCCTTAGCACAACAAGTAAGTACAAGTAAGTGTACTCACCACATCATCTCCCGAGGTTTTAATGTCTTGGCACTGAGTGACACAGTTTAATGATATATAGACAAAACAGAACAGATCCTAAACACAATTCAGAAAAGATATTTACCTGCCCGCTTCTCGCAAACAAACCGACGTGAATCCCCACAGTCATCGTCTCGTATATTTGAAGTGTCGGTTGTTTTTATATACCCACATGTGCTTCTTCTTGCTGAAATCATATGAGGGCATTTATCTCAGTATGGGGACACTTTGGCAACGTTCAAAATGTTCTAAAAAAAGTAATAAAAATAATTGTGCGGCCCAATGCTCACAGACTCACTGATGCTCTGTTTTTGCTCAAGAGGAGAAGGAAAATTATTTATCTTTTCAAACCAACATTGACCTGTCGGTGAATTTACGTGTGAGTGGGAAACAAATATATCATAAATGTAATGGAATACTCACTAGTCGTACACTTCTCCTCAGAAATTGTCAGATATCTGTAGTAAGTCCCTGTCACAGAACTGAAAATCAAAGACAAAGACCAAGCCTTCAGCCAAGTTGAAGATCATACATACGCTTAAAGAAATATCCAGTTCTAATCTATATGCTGTATTAAATAGGTCAGTGTCAAAAATTGCACTATCTTCCATCGTTGGTGCACTCAGTATACGTAAGCGTACTTTAGGACGTAGAAATCGGTTAACCTTTTCCGAGATATGGCTCGGAATTTTTTAGTTTATTATCTTCCCTGTGGTCTTTGTTCGTAATTCAGGATCCAGGATATTTCTGCTGGTATTGGGGAGTGGGGGGGGGGGGGTGTCGTTGGTATAAAATATAAGGCGAGGTCAGCGGTACTTTCTTCTTTAAGGTTCATGGATGGGGGTTGCTTGTATTTGACTCTGCAATGTTTTTATCTATTAATTTGTTTTGTGTACGGGTGGAGAAAAGGTTTACTTTACTTACTAAGTAAGATACCACCTACACACACTGGACAATAGAAGTGTCACCCCCTTAATCAGAGTAATCAAAGTTATAATGCCTGATCTACTTATAATGTGACTAATGAGTATAAAAACGCTGTGCCGTGGAATTGTACTGTTGGTCTTTTTGTGAAATTTGATGTTAATAAAATGATACCAGGAGCATATCATTCCACAGTCATTTATCTCCCCCAAAGTATTGGTTCAGTAGGGGTGACACTTCTATTGTCCAGTGTGTGTAAGTGGTAGAATGCACGTGACTCACTGTGCCCCTCAATGGATCCGTCATAAAATATACATACTCTATTTTTATTTATTTTGACTGCAAATATAAAGTGCAAAAAAAGATACAACCACGTGATATAACATACATGTATACCCTGTAAGACAATATAACCCTCGACTAAACCGTCGCTAAACAATGTACATGTATATACTCTATACACTACCTTGATACAGTGGATGAGTCCCCTATGTCTGTAACGAATATTTGCTGTTAGATGTATACACTTTCCCATTTTCGTGGAAAATTCTCTCTCTCTCTTTATATATAGGCAGCTTAATTATGCATATTTACCTGGGTTTACAGGAAAATGACGATCTTCTGACCGTGAAACCAACCCATGCTTCTCCCATGGTCTTTATCATATCAAACAAAAAATTCTTCTCGTCCCTAGTGTGAACCACGGCGAGGGTCCCCTTCATCCCCTGACAGGCTCTCTGTGCGGCTGCCCATGTCTGTTTGGTGCAAGATAATCTAAACTGCGTGCGAGAATTGCCTCTTGGATACCCAACCCACCCAGAGTTTGAACATGAAACTGACAAAAGAAAAAGAAATAGATGCGACTTTTGCCACATGTTAAATTGGTTTCCTTTTTTGTATCTCCAATCTGCCTCACATAGAATGAATTGGTACACCGATATAAATAATTGAGATTGTATACGATATCACGTTCATTTTGTTATTTCTGTTTTCAGTTTGGTATTTTCTTTTTACATGAAAAGTCATGTTAGGAAAAACAATCCAAACATTTCATAAATAAAAGTGTGTGTGTGTGTGTTTTTTAAACTTATGAAGCCAATAAATTGCTGTTAATGTCCTGAATGCATGCCGGTTATTACATTTCCCCCAAATCCAAGCTGTCTCTTTAAATCCGGTAAACACGAGCTAGCTTTAGGCTGTATTCCCAGAGCTTTTAGATCGATCTATCCCCGCGGGGAGTCTCACTAGATTACTGTCAGATAATCCGGCTTAAATGTCCGTCCCGCCTACTACAAGCTGTAAGGGGGTAATTAACTTTCGTGTCTGCTCGGCTGACAGCTATTTAGCGTGAACCCCCAGGGAGTTAGGTCGATCTAAAGTAGATCTATCTAATCTCTGGAAATGGGGTCTTAGATAACACTACCCCGCCGTCTATGGTAAATATACTGCCTAAAAGCCCTCTTAAAGTGTGTTTAGAAGGAAAATGTCACACGTATATACACGTGAGATACAAGCTATTGCGTAATAAAAGCATCAAAACAGTATGAGTTATTTAAGACCATTAATTGCTATTATTTTATGATTTTATGATATTTTTTTGTGATTTCTAAGGGTGAGCAGCACTAATTGTATATTTCTACGATTTATTCAATAATACTGGGTGACAATTGACCACGAGTTTGCAACCTGTCGAACTGATAACTTGTAAATTTGCGACTGTCGACAGTGGATAACTAGCTTGGTTCTTGCCGAAATGGTAAGTGGTAAGAGGCAATTGTATTACGAATGTTCCCATAGAAAAATTACGATACCTTGAGAAGATCCGCCCTGATTATTATTCCTCTTAGCAAGAGCAATCGGACAGAAAACTGTCAAAAACCAAAGCTGTAAAAGTATCTTCATCCTTGATGTCTTCTGTTCCCTTGGTGCATCGGGCAAGTGGGTTATCTCTCTAGGTGTCTTCAAAATCTAAGGTGTGTTTCCATGTAGCGAAAAATGACTGTTCCTGGCTTTGACTTTATTTGATATCGGCCAACAAACATTTAATCCCTTTTTTCTAATTAACATAAAGCTTGACCAAAATTAGTATGTAAGATGGAGTGCTTTTATCTTATACCTGGCAATGGTGTTTTTTTATTCTGAGGCGAACCAGGATCGCACTAAGAACAGCCTACTTTGCATGTTTGTGTGGGGAACTCGGTGAAGGTCAGAGCGTGTGCACGATAAGGGTGTAGGTGTCACCGTGGCATCATCCATCTATCATGAAAAGAAGGCAAGTTGCCATTGCTCAAGATTACGACTGTCTTTGATAACTGTTTAATGGTACGCGGCGATTAATTGGGGCAGAATACCTTACGTTTTATTAAAATAAAATTGGATCGCAATTCGATATTTCCCCTGATTCTCATTTTCAACTAAACACTTCCTTTGTTAGCCTATTTATCCGTGATCTTTATTATATATATACTTGTACCCCGAAAACAAGGTAACAAATTAATATCGGCAACACCGTTGTTCTCTGCTTGATTTTGCCAATGTTTGGGCTAACAAGAAGCAAAGAAGGGAAACACCAAGATGCTTTTGTCGAAATTCCTTTGTTTTCAAATTTCAATAGACGGTTAAATTCAGTTAGGTTTCTGTAACGAACATCTCTTGCTGCACGCTGATCACCCTGTGAATCTTACTGACATCGGCGCTTACTGAACGACTGGCCAGTTAATAAGTAACAAATAACTAAAAAAAAAATCACAATTAATTGTCACTCAGAGGATAGCACCAAGTGTATGGCACCGTTTACCATCTTATCAATGACACAAGAACTAAATCTTATAATCATATGGCTGTTAAGTCTAGCAATTTTCTCTGTGTAAATTTCACCAGTGACTGATGGATCAAAACAAACGAAAGAGATTCAATTTTTGAAAAATGTTATGACCAGGTGCTGGAAAAAACACACGTGTAAAACCTTAATATTAATTTCAAAGTCATCCACAAACTATAGGATAACAAAGTGTTTGTTTGTGATTATGTCAGGAGTTTCACAATATGTCTCATTTAACGTTCACTTACGGTTCTCAGTCTATTCTAGAACATTTGGTGTGTGTTTTTTATAGTTCTAATGTTGTTCTTTAATGGATGTAACAGTTCTAGAACTATTTTTGGGAAGTCCTTCAGAATGTCCTAGGACGGATTAAGA